TTATAGGGCAAGTATAACAATAGGCATCCATGTCAAGGTGTACAATACTGTAGCTCTGTAGTGGTGTGATACTGAGCTACACGGTAGTATGTGTCTTGGTGATATACTGAGGTACACGGTGGTATGTGTCTTGGTGTTATACTGAGGTACACGGTGGGATGTGTCTTGGTGTTATACTGAGGTACACGGTGGTATGTGTCTTGGTGTTATACTGAGGTACACAGTGGTATGTGTCTTGGTGTTATACTGAGGTACACGGTGGTATATGTCTTGGTGTTATACTGAGGTACACGGTGGGATGTGTCTTGGTGTTATACTGAGGTACACAGTGGTATGTGTCTTGGTGTTATACTGAGGTACACGGTGGTATATGTCTTGGTGTTATACTGAGGTACACGGTGGGATGTGTCTTGGTGTGATACTGAGACGGGTACTTGGTGATATACTGAGGTACACGGTGGTATGTGTCTTGGTGTTATACTGAGGTACACAGTGGTATGTGTCTTGGTGTTATACTGAGGTACACGGTGGTATATGTCTTGGTGTTATACTGAGGTACACGGTGGGATGTGTCTTGGTGTTATACTGAGGTACACAGTGGTATGTGTCTTGGTGTTATACTGAGGTACACGGTGGTATATGTCTTGGTGTTATACTGAGGTACACGGTGGTATGTGTCTTGGTGTTATACTGAGGTACACAGTGGTATGTGTCTTGGTGTTATACTGAGGTACACGGTGGTATATGTCTTGGTGTTATACTGAGGTACACGGTATGTGTCTTGGTGTTATACTGAGGTACACGGTGGTATGTGTCTTGGTGTTATACTGAGGTACACGGTGGTATATGTCTTGGTGTTATACTGAGGTACCTACGTGATGGCACTTTGCCTTAATAATGGTGTTACACTCAGGTATGTAATGGATTTGTGCTTTAATAGTGGCGTTACACGGAGGTATATTATGACTTTGTGATTTAATGGAGCTAAGTGTATTATTTTCTTTCCCTTTAAATTTGGAGTCTCTCTCTCTCTCTCTCTCAGCACTGTCCCTTCTCTCTCTCTCCTTCTTTCTCTCACACCAGTCTTCTTTCTCTCTCTCTCTCTCTCTCTCACCAGTCCCTTCTCCTTCTTTCCTTTCACACCAACTTCTCTCTCACACCAGTCCCTTCTCTCTCTCACTAGTCCCTTTCTCCTCCTCTCCCTTTTTCACCCTCCCTCCTTTTTCTCCTCCCTCCCAGGTTCCCCACCCAGCATTTTTACAATTGCGTGCTGTCCACAATCGATATGCTGTAATGTAACCTGTTAGGATCATTGGTCGTCGCACGCACAATCCCTCCCTCCCTCCCCCTCCATTCCCTCCCTCCTCCCTCCTCCTCCTCTCTCCTCCCCCCTCCCTCCCTCCCCTTCTTGTCTATCTTTTTTACCTTCCTCCTCTATTATCTCTCCCTCCCCTCCTCCTCCCCTTCTCTTCTTCTCCCTCATCCCTTCCTCCCTCCATTCTTCTCTCCCTCCCTCCCTTCCTCTCTTTTCTTCAACCTATCTACATTATCTACTTCCTACTTACCTTCTTAACTACTTACCTACCTTCTGTCTACTTCCTTACCTATCCCCCTACTTACACACACACACTTACACACACACACACACGCACACACACACGCACGTATGATATATAATGATAAAATCTCTCAATAGCGGACTTATTGGCTTTTTTCCGGTAAATGGAGGTAAAATTATTCTAGGAACTGTGAGAATAACTAAAAATCAAATAATAATTGTTGTCTATAGTTAATATTATGTCATATAAAGGTTAGAGGCGGATGTATTATAGTTTAGAATAAGAATGTCTTTTATCATCTGTTAGCTGGAACCTTGTGTCATCCACCCATCGATACTGATTGATGGGTAGTGGTGGTGTGTGTGTGTGTTTATGCATTTATTTATTTGAGTTACAAGTTCACGACAGACAGACAGATGTGTTTATTAAGCCGTTAAAATAAAATAAATATATATAAATACTAAATACCTCACAAATACTAAATAACTCAAATTTTCTTAACAAAATATATTCCTTTTTTTTTCGTTCAGTAACATACAATATATTCTCACTCACACATCACACCTAGAGTCTATACCAATACTGTACGTGAGTGTTGCATCTATGTACTATCTATAGTTATCTACTGCCTACTATCTATACTGCCACGTCTACTACATCACAACGTATTGATATGGTGAGATACGTACTTATTGCCAGCTCATGGGGTAACAATCTCACTTAAGATCTATACACGACAATCCCGATATATTTTGCTTGGTTTACAGTTCAGGGAAAACTCACCAGGCTTAATATTAGCTGTTGATATGAAGGGGTTTACAATACAGTATAGACCACCGCCTCCGCCCTCCTAACATGCAACAAAATACTCGCGGTTCAATTCTTCTTCTCGATATTATTTATTCAAGGTAACATACAGCTTTTATATATATATTTTTTATTTCTCTCTAGTATGAATGAGATATTTACACAGCGTGAAAAAACGACAAATTTTCCTTAGAATTTATGCATGAAAGGTGAACTAGTCAATATTGTGGTAAGGTTATAAAATATAGGAGTGTACTGTAGACCTACTGTAGATACAAAGACATCCTCTTTTAGTTGTTACTCGGAGGATTTGAGAGAGACAAAATGGAAGATAGAGAAATGCAGGAGGAAATATGTCATTGATGAGAAACAGAGATCAATATTGGAGGAATATAGAAGACACACACACACACACACAAGACGTTGAGAAACATTGGGTTATTGAATATAGAAGTAGTCCTTGGTAAACGAACAATAATGCTAGAAAATGCGCTGAGAACTTAGAAAAATCTCCTGAGAACTTTGAAAAATCCCCTGAAAACTCTAGAATCCCTTGAGAAACCTGAAAAATACCCTGAGGAACAAAAAATACCCTGAGAAACATAGAGTCCCTGAGAACTGCAAAAAAGTCCCATGAGAACCCTGAAAAATACCCTGAGGAACAAAAAATGTCCCCTGAGAAGGCTTTAAGGGCTTTGAGAACACAGGAAGAGCATTTAACACCACAGTGAGGGTAAGTATAGCGCCAGCGGCTTAATTTAGGAGAGTCGATCATGTCCAGTTTTCTGCTAATCTCAAAATTGCTCGAGCGATCATTAATTAGTAGCGATTCTTGGCACTCCAACACGCATCATGATGAGGGGGAGAAGGGGGGAAGGGGAGTGGAAAAGGGGAAAAAATAGGGGGATTAGAGAAGGGGGGCACAGGGGGAGATTTGGGAAAGTATTAGGGAAGGGGAAGAGGAGGGGAGAGGAGGGGTAAACGAGACAGTGAAATGTTTTAAGGGAGATAGGAGGATGAATGAGGGAATTAGTGAATAATGGAATAACGAGAGAATATAAAAGGTTCATTATGTTGGCAATGTATACAGAATATATTGAATAGCGTTTATCCTCTAACTTTTATACTTTGTAAGAATGACCAGTTTCCAGATAATATGACAGTATATCAAATTATATAATAAAAGTATAAATTATTTACTATACGGTAAAAAGGAAATTATATCTCCAATCCCTATAATGTTAACTAACGTTCTCCATCAATATTGAGTCAGGAAACAGAGGAACTCGTCTAATATATCATAACAAAATCAGATTCACAAATTTCCCTCAGTCATTGTATCTCAGGACACATAATCTTTTTTCTTCAGTTTACACACAACAGGAATGTTACAGAACCATACACACAAAGAGACTCTACTGTACCGTGCCTTTGGTTATGTAGAATGTGGATCGGGAAACATGAAACTCACTCACGTTGACACAATGTTCGCTGCTTAAGTGGATTCATGTATCTGTTAACAGTAATTATAGTGTTGTGTATGTTTGACTATGTTGTTGACGAACGTGTGTGTGTGTGTGTTAGGTGTTGTGTTGTGTTGTGTTGTGTGTGTGTGTGTGTGTGTGTGTTAGGTGTTTGTGTTGTGTTGTGTGTGTGGGATAGAACTAAGGTACAGTATGAATACGAGATGGTTGTCACACAGAGCCTCTTCAGCCACGGGGGAGGGGGATTCTGAGTAGCACAGAGGGAAGCACGAGGAGTGTATTGATTTATATATAACAGTATCGGACGTCGTGTGTGTGTGTGTGTGTGTGTGTGTGTGTGTGTGTGTGTGTGTGTGTGTGTGTGTGTGTGTGTGTGTGCTCCCGATTTTGTTCACTATACCTCCCGTTCAAACTTTTTCTCTGCTCTTGACTCAATAAAGCTTGTTGATTGATTTCATTTTGTCAATCTATGTCCATTGTCCACTGCTCTCTTTATATTTCGTGTTGTTAATGGTGACGAATGTGGTGTACAGAGATATATAATTCGAGTGTTGCTTTTGTTGATGGTGTTACTTATTGATGTATATTATTAGGTTGTGTTATGAGTATATGTTCTATAGTTACAACACATTTATTGATGGAGGAATAATAACTATATAAACAGGTGGTGATTGTAAATAATTTCCTTTCCTTGTGTACAGTCATATACACTCAGAGACGTACAGAGTTAAGAGCGGTATACAGTCATCCCCTCATATCATGGTCAACTGTCATATCCATATCCATTTTAGGTCTTTATGATATGACTTAAAAGAGTAATGTTATATATGTGTTAAAGACTCAGACATTTTCATATAACGCTAGACTGATTCACTGACATGTAAACTGCTTACAATACCCTCCCTCCCTCCTTCACCTTCTCGGGGCTAAGAGGTAAATGACTACCACCAGATCACTGACGCTGAGGTTAGGTTAGGTTAGATATTATTAAAACACACACACACACACACACACACACACACACACACACACACACACACCTGCCGTTATTTCCACTTCCCATTATTTCTCTGTCTTGCTGTTTTATAAATAGTAATTGTTATGCCTGGCGAGTGACCCACACGGTTAACCTTGACCTTCCCCCTTCCAGACTGATCAAGGACGGCCTCTGCGACAGGAACACGGCTCCCTCCGTCTCCGCCATCTCCAGACTCCTCAGGGGCAAGGATGACGACGAAGACCCAAAGAAATCCAAGGATGGTAAGTACACCTGAAGGAGAATTATATATACACTATAGACAATAAATAACAAGTGATAATTTTCCCACAAGCTTTTAAACAGTAAATACGTTGAGTTAAGCATGTGTATAAGCTGATAGACTCTAAATGACCGGGGCGGGAAGGGTTGTATAAGCGTCCCTCGGGTATAAAAACACCGTGATATTAATAAGTCAACACAAGACCTCGAGTACAGGACGAAGGTGAAGGAGAAATTGCTCGCTAACTCTGACTGACTCTGGAGGTGAATAATGAATTGGTTTTTATTGTGTTTGGTTTCTACTGTAACACTGAGACTCTATTAAGACAGTACTAACACACTTAGGTCTTCTTGGTTAATGCGCCTTCCTATGGTAAAAGTAATAGAGTAATTAACCCTCTCAGTCCTGGGAGTTATCTCTTAAGCTGAATAATATCGCGTGACGGTAACCGGAATAAAATCGCGTGATGATAATCAGATTAAAATCGTGTGACGGTAACCAGAATAAAATCGCGTGTCGGTAACCAGAATAAAATCGCGTGACGGTAACCAGCATAAAATCGCGTGACGGTAACCAAATAAAATCGTCTGACGGTAACCAAATAAAATCGTGTGACGGTAACCAACATAAAATCACGTGACGGTAAACAGAATAAAATCGTGTGACGGTAACCAAATATAATCGTGTGACGGTAACCAAATAAAATCGTGTGACGGCAACCAAATAAAATCGTGTGGCGGTAACCAGAATAGTACCATGTGACGATAGCCAGAATAATATCGTGTGTTGAAAGGAGTGAACGGTTTAATTTTCAAATAAAATAATAAATCCTTTTTGATAAGTAACGAAAAACTGATTAGGTAAATTTACTAATATATCCGTGAGGAGGCGAAGGAAAATTTGTCGAATAAATTATATTAAATTAAACCAAACTGTCAGGGTGAAGAAACAACAACAACAACAACAACAACAAAAACAACAACAATAATAATAATAATTAATAATAATAATAATAATAATAATAATAATAATAATAATAATAATAATAATAATATCATTAATATTCAGTAAAATCATCACACAAGTATACAGTTTGTTTGCATACATAATAGAGGTGCAGGTAAACAATTCTCAATGTACTGTATCTATAAAGAGCAGGTATATAACATCAGTAAACAGAAAGCAATTCTATCAAGGATACCCGACAAAGCTGCCACCGGTACTTAATTCCAATAGAGGTTCACTTGGGTTAACTTGTATATTGACAGCTAATATAAGTTGCAGGAAATCGGATAGGGATGAAAGTCAATTTAGCAGTGGACAGAAAACAGATCTTGGTTCCACGGGGCGCTGGACACTACAGTCGCTAGCGGTGGACGGCCAGTGGATACAGTGTCGCCCTCTGTTGCCGCCGCCGCCGCCGTACCGTTTACGCGCACAAGCTGCATCAGTGAGCCTGCCGAGCGTCAGCCCCCCGCCGATGCCGACACCACGACCCCCGCTGTTGTACTGTTCCCTGACCTGCTACTGTGGTCCTGTGGGTGTTACTGTGGTCCTGTGGGTGTTACTGTGGTCCTGTGGGTGTTATTGTGGTCCTGTGGGTGTTACTGTGGTCCTGTGGGTGTTACTGTGGTCCTGTGGGTGTTATTGTGGTCCTGTGGGTGTTACTGGGTGTTACTGTGGGTGGTCCTGTGGGTGTTACTGTGGTCCTGTGGGTGTTATTGTGGTCCTGTGGGTGTTACTGTGGCCCTGTGTGTATGTTACTGTGGCCCTGTGGGTGTTACTGTGGCCCTGTGTGTATGTTACTGTGGCCCCGTGGTCTTTTGTTGTTGTGACTTGTGGTTAGGAGTGTGGCTTTGTGGTTATAACTGTAGGTATTGTGTTTATTATGGTGGTATTTGTGGTTGTTATGGTGGTTGGTTACTGTAGATCTTGTGGTTGTTATGGTGGTTGGTTACTGTAGGTCTTGTGGTTGTTATGGTGGTTGGTTACTGTAGGTCTTGTGGTTGTTATTGTTATGGTTCAGACGTGGAGTCTTATCACAAGTCATATGAACAACTACTGTGTACATGTGGTCAGCTGTTGCTCACCCAACCATCGCTCTGAACTCAAATATTAATTCAAATTATTTTTTTCTTACTTTCTTTTAAAACTTTCGGTCAAGATGATTTTCCTTGGTTATGGAGGCTCGTGTTGTTAATTTTTTCTGACATAAGAGAATTTGTAGTCAACTAGTTATATATTTTGATTATATAGAAGGTAACATCAGCTAATGTTTCTAAATGATAAGCAGGTGTCTAATTGTACTTAGAAATAAACTCTAATTTGATCATATTTCCTACATCAGAACATCACCATCTGTCTTTATTCACGATTCTTTACTCTGGTATGTCTCTTCTTCTTCTTCTTCCTTCCTTCCTTCCATTCTCTCTCTCTTCTCTAACTAATTCATTGATCTCTTCTTACTCTTCTTTTTTTTTTGCTAACTTTAATTTTCTTCCGTTCTCACTTATTCTTCCCTGCTTGTCTCCCTCCCTCCTTTTCTCCATTTACCTTCTCCTCCTCCCCTGCTTCTCCCCTTTCTTACCTATTTTCTCTCTTCTCTCCTTCCATCTCACCTTTTCCCCCTTTATTTCCTCTCCGTGCCTCACCTCTCCCTGCTTACCTCCCCGCCGAGGTTATACGAGGTGTGAACGTTCGTCTTTGCTATATGCGCACAATGGAAACTGGCGAGGCCTTTGGCAGCCTTACCGGCCAAAAAACCCACAGAGCGAGTCACTCCCGGGTTACACAATGCTCACAAAGACGCACAAAATGTACCAACGCTTCAAAAGCCTTAAAATGCACAATACAGCCAAATGGAGTAGAATTCTCTAAATAAACCCCAAATGCTGAATGGTTCTTGAGGGAAACAAAAGAGATTCCACAGTCATTATGTTAGAACGGACAATGGAGGGAAGCCACAGGGGGTCGTCTCTCCACTAAGAATGCCAAAAGGACGACTTTTCATGCTGGATAACAATATTTGCCGGGGTTCTTATGTCACTGGAAAATCATTAAAAGGATTACTGGTGAGTTTGAAGGGAATTTTCCAGGTAACTAATATCGAATACAAGACATATTTAAAGGTTTCTCCTGAGCCTGACAGATAACATTGATCGCGTCTGGTTGTCCTTAAGCTCCACCCACAAATGTTCTCACAATTTCGCTTATTTTCCGAAATATCGAATTTAAAGAAAAAAATATATATTTTGATCTCTCTATTGTATAAAACCTATTGTTAAAAACCTTACAAATTGCTGCTCAAACCTGATACTTTCCATAACCTGTAATTTACATTTTTTCGCGTGTATGAACTTATTATAGCTGAACAAATAGTAAATAATAAATGATCAGTCGAGTTAAAAAAGAACACTTTATTTTTACTAGTAAGAACTTGACCATAAACGCGATCAAAAGTAATATGATATGTGAACTATTTTTATTCCATTTATTCTTATTATTTATAAGGTGATTCAGCTTGTTATTGTCACACCTGAGGTATTGTACACGTGATGACAGCTCAATGTGTGACCAGCTTCTAGTTTATAAAGTCAATTCAGGTGATGAATGACCTCTAACAGCGTCCCTAAACCAACAAGTAAACATTCCCTAAATTTATCACTAGAATGACTCGACTTGTAAATGATGTTTTGTGGGTTTTATGTAAATCAATTCTAAAAGACGTTCTTCTTTGTGTGTTTGACTTAACGTTTTGAGTCAAGGCTACGAGAGAGAGAGAGAGAGAGAGAGAGAGAGAGAGAGAGAGAGAGAGAGAGAGAGGTGTTAGGTTAAAGCTGTTTCTGTGTCATCCATCCTACCACCTTCATCCATTCCCCATCACCAACTTCACCCAATTTACTCCCCACCTTCATCTTCATCCAACCCTTATCCACACCTTCATCCATCCCCCACTACCACCCTCATCCACCCCCTTCCCCACCCACCTTCACCCTTGGATGATAACCACCACTCCGGCACACACCAGAGTGGGATTTCATCTCTTCCATCTTGTAGCTTTTTCTTCCTCATTCCTCCTCCATTTTCCTCTTACCTACTTCCTTCCCCCTCTCGTCCTTCTTCTCTATCTCTCTCAACACTCCTTCCTTTTGACTCAGTCCTTCCCATCCACCACTTCTCCCTGCTGTTCATCCCTCCCGTCCCTCCTATCCCTCCCTCTGTCCTTCCTGTTCCTCCTTCCCTCCCGGACAGTATACACTACATCTAACAACGAGTTAATATATATTTTATTAATAACTTTACAACTGGGACAAACTGTATAAGGAAAACTCAACACATTAGTCTTTATAGTGTGTGTATATACTCAATATATTTCATCGAGGTTCTGCTTTATCTTACGGTTAACTCTCAGTTCGTCAGTGTTTGTGTGTGCTTGACTCCGTGTTACTTTTCCTGACACAGAAATCGCCAAATATTCTTGTAGTAAAGTTGATAATTTTATGCGGGGAATAATATGACAATAATGACCATTAGTTAGTTTTATGGTCAGTTTACAAGGCTGACAGCGGTACTGTACAATACAGGTTGTTAGTGATGGTGAGGAGAGGCCCGCTGCTCACGGTGTCTTACATGTTGCGCTGTTAAGTCTTGTCCAATAACTTGTGCGGGTTGTTATATTGGAACAACTATCGTCAAAACATGGAGCCAAAAGTCTGTCAAATGCATATGTCTGACAACACTGAAAAGCAGAAAAAAATTAATGTAAAATCAGATAAATAATATGTGGAATAACTTATGGCTGCATCAGGGGGCGGTGACGGGCCGTCAGGGTGGGCGTCGTAGCCACACTAGCGGCAGTCCGCTTGTGGACCGCCGGCGGCCGTTCCGCTCGCTGCTTGCGGCGCCGCAGTTGGGAACCTTTTGTTTATGTAATGAAGTTTTGAGTCAAAAGATTCCCAGCTTGTGTTGGTTGACCTCCTCCAGATTTTTGTGGGCTTCTTT